CTATGATGTTGTATTGTGATAATCAGGCAGCAATTAACATTGCCCATAACCCAGTTCAGCATGACCGGACAAAGCACATTGAAATGGATAGACATTTCATTAGAAAAAGGGTGACTTCTGAGGAAGTTTGTCTCCCATACATTGCTTCTAATTTGCAGCTTGCTGATGTTCTCACAAAAGGTGTTGCGAGGAACAAGCTGGAGCATGACCTACGCAAGTTGAGAATGTGTGACATTTACTCCCAACTTGAGGGGGAGTGTTGAGTTGGGCTGATTTCTAGTTATTGGGCCCAGTTATTTATCTTTTATTTTTAAGTTGTTAAGTTAGGAAGTTATTGGGTTTTAGGCCCATTAGTTTATGTTTTTCAAGTTGTGATTGTTTAGCTACTTAAGTAGCCGCCCTACTAAGGGCATTCTTGTAATCTCTTATTCTTTTAATTGGAGTATATAATACAAAGAGGGGTTGGTGGCCAAAACTAATTTTCAATTCTAGTTGACATCCCACTCCTTTTCTTCTCCTCTCTTCTCTCTACTGCTAAAACTCTTCATCTTCTTCTTTCTCTTCACAAGGAATTCATCTAAAACTGCAATCTGTGATTTCTACAATCAACCCTGAAGGCAATCTCTGTTTTTTCATCTGTTAGCAAGTTGTTAATATGTTATTTGGGGTAGCAATAGCACGATGCATGAATTGGATATTTTGGTTTTTATTTGATTAATAGCATGTTTGTGTTTTATTAGAGGATCACAAGTGTTGTGACCATGTGAACACATTGAACCAAATCACCCAGGCAAGCACTCATTGGATTATTTAGTTTTTCATTTGGTTGATAGCATGCCGTGTTCTATTGGAGGGTCAAAAGAAAGTGTTGAGACCATGTGATTGTCAAAGCTATCTTTGTATTCTTGATTGTCAAAGTAAGGCAAGGGAACCCTATAGGCATAGTTTTTAAAGCTATCCTTGTGTTTTATTGATGTGGAACTAGATCAATTGGGGGTCCTGCTTGGGGTGCTGAGTTGGTTTGAAGTGGTGACAGGTTTGAGAGTCAACTGGGCCAAGAGTAGAGTAATTCCAGTTGGGAAATAGAGAATCTTGAAGCTCTAGCAGAAGGTCTTGCTTGTCATATTGGTTTTTTGCTGATATTGTACCTAGGCCTTCCCTTGGGGGATAAATGTACCTCATCCCTAATATGGGATCCAGTGGCGGAAAGATTAGAAAGGAAATTGGCTTCTTGGAAAGCCAAATATCTTTCCTTGGGGGGTAGAATCACTCTCCTAAAAAGTTCTCTTTCTAATTTTCCCTCCTCCTTCCTCTCCCTCTTCCCAATCCCCACTAAAGTGGCGCATAAATTGGAAAGGCTTCAGTGGGATTTCCTATGGAAAGGTTGGAAGGAGAAAAAGAATATCCATCTGGTCAATTGGAAAAAGGTTTGTACTCCAAGAGAAAAAGGTGGTTTAGGGGTGAGAAATCTGAAAACTTTTAACAGAGCTTTAATGGGGAAATGGATTTGGAGATTTGCACGAGAAAGAGATAGTTAGTGGAGGAATTTACTTGCAGCCAAATCATAGTTTTTAAGGCGCCAAGGCGAGGCTAAGTGACAGGGGGGCACCTTGTCGCCTAGTCGCCTAGGCGAAGGATTTTTTTTTAAGTAAAACCATATATCCTAGGGTAGTTCCCTAGGTTCCATAACCATCTTTCTTTAATAATTATCCATAATTTTCATAAGAGAAGTATAAATTTCATGTTTTAAGTTTAGAAAATCAACATTTTATGAGAAGAAAAATGAACAAAGGAAAGAAAATTCAAAAAATATAGGGGCTGAACCCCTACTTTTGTTATAGGAAAAGAAGAAAAGAAAAGGTGAAAGAAGAAGAGGATCTGTAAGAAGAAAATGTGCTGATTAGACAAAATTTTAAGTTCTTCCCTTGCTTATTGGTTCAGGTTCTAAAATCTTTGAGGATTCAATCAAGGATCAAAACTTCAATACGATACGCCCCGTATCAGGTGCATTGTATTGTATCTTTGGCACCCCAATACACACGTTTACAAGTGTTTTTGGGAACCCATTTTTTAAAATAATATATTTAAAAATGAAATTGAAAACCAAAGAAATAAAAAAGGGGGAAGTATCGTTATAAGTACTGATACACCTTTGTCGATACATAGAGGTGTATCGAACTATCGATACTTTGAACCATGGGTTCAATACAACAGTTAGCAATGTTTGTGTTGATTAAACCCTAACAAATAAGAAAATAATAAAAAGAAATTAGTACAGAAACACATAAAATGAGTATTCTAGTTTAATAATGCCTATTTTATAATTATAATTATAATGTCAAAAAATTAAAAATATAAAAATATTTTATAACAGTGCACAAAACTACTTGGCGACTGGGTGAGACGAGCCTCCAAGGGCGCCGTGTCGCCTAGGCATCGCCTTGACAACTATGAGCCAAATATGAAACAGATAGAGGGGAGGGTTAACCGTTTCAAACCTCCCTTCCCCGGGGTGCTCTCTTTGGAAGAAAATCATGGAAGTCTATCCTCTTCTTCACAGTGACCTGTCCCCTAAGTTGGGTTCCAGGCACTGTCTGAAATTCTGGAAAGACAAATAGTGCAATAACAGGTCCTTAGAAGAGTTGTTCCCCCAGATTTTTCAACTTGCAGAAAACCAAGATGCAATGGTAGCCAATTGTTGTGAAGTGAATGGAATTAGAATTGCTTGGGTTCCTGCTTTCAGAAGACCTTTTCAAGATTGGGAAGTGGATCAAGTGGCGGATCTGTTGGGCTTGCTTTCAAACCAGAATTTGAACCCCTTGGAAGAAGATTCTTGGACCTGGGAGTGGAATGCAGATGGCATTTTCACTGTGTAAGTCCTTTGCCAAAAGGTTATCAGGTGGAGGAATCAAAGTTGCCAAAAGATTGGAGCAGATCCAGAGGAATTTTCTTGGGAGGGGTTGGGGGGAGGAGAGAAAAGTGCATCTTGTTAGCTGGGATCAAGTCTGTCTTCCTATGGCTGAGGGTGGGTTAGGCATTAGGAAAGTGAAGAATTCCAATACTGCCCTGCTAAGCAAGTGGATTTGGAGGTTCTCGGCTGAAAGGGAGGCCTGGTGGAGATCTCTCATTGCAGGTAAATATGGGGTGGAATGGAATAACTGGAGATCCAGGGATCCTCCCCTAAGTTGGGGTAGCTCCCCTTGGAAATCTATCATGAAAATCTTCTGTGTTCATGGAAGGGATTTCTGTTAAGGTTGGTAATGGGGAAAGAACAAAGTTCTGGAAGGACCCTTGGTGTTTGGATGTGACTCTAGCTGAATCTTTTCCTCATCTTTTTCAGTGTGCTCTTACTCAAGAAGCTTCTGTGGCTGAGTACTGTTGTGTGACAGGTGGGTCTCTAACTTGGACTCCCATATTTAGGAGGGATCTGTTTGACTGGGAATTAGAAGAGAATGGGGACCTGATGGCTCTTCTTCAAAATCAGAAGATTGATCAGCAGTTGGAAGACAAATGGAGTTGGAAATGGAATTCGAATGGTGAATTTTCTATTAAGTCCCTTGCCTCTAAAGTCTAAATTGGGTAGTTTGGATCCTACTGATTTTCCTGCTTCTCAGATCTGGAATACTATAAGTCCTTCAAAAGTCAACTTTCTTGTATGGACGATGGCCCTGGATAAATGTCTCTCCAGAGTTAATTTGGCGAGAAGGGGCATTCAGGTTATGGATCCTTTATGTAGTCTGTGTGGGCAACATGTTGAATCGACAGATCATCTATGTATTCATTGTCCATTTTCCTCTCAGATTTGGGGATACTTTCTCAGAGTCTTGGAGTTCAGTTGGATAATGCCTAGATCGGTTAAGGATCTCCTCGGTTGTTGGAAGGTGAGAAGCCTTAGTAAGAAAGGGAGCCTGGTGTGGAGGACTATTCCTGCTGCAGTTTATGAACCATTTGGGCTGAGAGGAACAGTAGAATCTTCAATAAGAAAGGCAAAAGTCCTGAAGACACCATTCAGAGAGCTGTGGGCAAACTGATTTCTTGGATATCTGTATCTGAGGAATTTAAAAGTCTGAATTTGTCTTATTTTTATTGTTCTGAGTTCTGGTGGAAAGTGTAACAGCTGTGGTCATCAGACTGCCCTCCTGGGTCTGATCCCAGCTTGTATGTCTTTTTGAGTTGAATAAAATTAATTTACCTTTTACAAAAAAAAAAATCAGAACCTTGAGCATAGACTTAGAAGAAAATTTGCCAATAGGATGGGGGGCCCAGATTCAGGTATTAGGGAAGGGGAGATGTGGACTTCTTTAAGGGTCTGAAGTAAGGCAATTAATTCATAAATCTCAGGCCCCTTAGAGGTCTTCTGAGGCGAAGATTTAGGGTGTTCTCAGCAGTTTGGTCTGGAAGGCAAGAGGAGACAGTGGCTACTTGGTCAAGGGTGAGGTTGAAAAGTCTGGGGAATGAGGCTGCAAGGGTAGTTTCTCCCCACCAGAGATCTTTTCAGAATTTTATTTTAAATCCATTTCCCACTTTATATCTTATAAAAGGGAAGAAATATTTTGAGTTCTTCCATGCTTATCAATTCAAGCTTTTAAGTCTTTGAGGGTTCAAGGCAATATACATGTTGATTGAACTCTAACAAATGAGAAGAATAAGAAAAAGAATCTAGTATTTTAACTTAAACTGAATAATTTAGTTTAATAATGGCTATTTTATTATTATAATCTCAAGAAGTTAAGAACATAAAAGTATCTGAAAGCACCGTGTAAAAAACGTTTTGGCAATGAGGTGACCCTCCATGAGCGCCCTATCACCTTGACAACTTGATAACTTAGTCCACACTCCACAGAAAATTAAGATGTTACCAACAAAGTTCCAAGGTACTGCTGCAGACTTTATATCTATGAGGTGATGATAATATCTCTACGAAGTAATCATGTTATGTAGAGATTTTCTATATATGTTTATCATTAAATAATTAATTTTTCATGCATAAAAATACACACCATGTGGCTTGCCTCTGTCCCTAGCAAACACAAGAGCCACAGCATCACAATTATAATTTCCATATGATGGTTGTTTGGTATTCTTGCATGAAAAGTATCCTTGACTTCCACCAGAAGTTAAGGAATCATCTCCACTGCTGTATAAAAAGCATCCACTCTCATCACCCACAATGACAGTTTCCTCTGACAGGGCATAATCTGCAGGAAGCAGGAGACAGTAAGTTACAACTTACAAGGCAAAGGCATGCCATGACAATGTATTACAAGTCATGTCCTGACAAACATTAGCAACATTTTATTCAGAAAAGCATAGTCAGTGGATGTTTCCATAATCTACTCAAAATAAGTGGTGGAAGTATTGCACATGCAGAGCTATCACATCTAGCAATATATGTAGTTGTCCGAACAAACAAGAGAGCAGGAACCTATTGAAGTGTGACTCAGGTGCTTGAGACATGAGTAGCCTCAAATAACACGTTTTATGATATCTTGTTTTTTTTCTTTTTGATAAATGAATAATGTTTTATGATATCTTTTAACCCCATTTTAACTGTTTGAGACACAGACCCACATCAACCAAGGTGCTATTGCCATTTCTTTTTACGTAAGTTAATAGCATATGCCATATTTATTACTTGATCAGTAACAACAATCAAAGAAGGACAAAGATTTAGAAGAAGAATTTATTTAGAAGAAGAATTTATGTGTGTCAAAAAGAAAAAACTTCATGAATTGTACACAAGAAAGGGAAACTGATGCTGTACAGCAGGCATCAAAAGGCTTGCATAAGCATACAACTATTTTTGTATGACAATAAAACTCATGCTTCCATAGAGCGAACCATCAATTAGCCAATTTTATGGTATTAAAGATTAGGTCTATATCCAGTCCACCCCTTCCAAGACCCCAGATATCTGGAACCAACATTGGGCAATAGCACTTTAAAGAGTCACTTTTGTTCCTTAAAGGATATAACTCTCTCCCCTTTCTAGTCCTTAGCAGTTGGTAGTGCCAAAACTTTGGTAGAACTTGAATTGGTTGATCCACCTAGACCACAATAGATCCAAGCAAAGTGGTACCATGGTGGTGGTAATACCACATGAATCCAGTTGGTCCCTGGTTTCTGAAGAAGTCTCCTTCGACTTTAATTCACAAACCTCACTAAAAGTCTTCAACAAGCTCCATATGAATTCCTCTTAACTCTCTCGTAGAATTAAGGAGGAGAAAATCCTGCATCCTATTGACCAATTGGAAAGAAATTCCTCTTAAAAAACACTTTAATTCCTTCATTTCCAAATTCCTCAAAAGAAAGAATCTGAAAGCATGTTTTTTCAATTATGTCAGTTCCATATCTCTGTCTTCCTTCTCCCATATCCTTGTCCAAAAGATGAGGCTAATTATCCAGTCAGTATAACTTGAAATCATAAGTGCCACTCTCTAGCTCAATTTCAACTACTCTCTTTCTTCTTTGTTTCTTCTGTTTTGTAAATGATGTGTATTGTATATGAACATAGCTATACACACACCTTCGGTAATGGTTTCTGTTTTTTCTTTAATTTAATATACAAAATAAACAATAGAAATGAGAGATCAAAATCATCAAGATGATACTCACCCATCTTATGAAGAACAGGTTTCATGTCAGAATTTTGATCCTAGACCATTATCCAGCCCACACGTTAGAGGATTTCTAATAGCAAAGTACTTTTACAACAAATAGACAAATTCTATTAAATCTGAGATCCATCTCTCGATTTGAGATCACGTTGAAGAACATTAGCTTACTGCAAACATCAAAATCCCCGTTGGAGAGGAGCAACCTGATATGGAAGCTGTGTAATCCTTGATATCCATCACAAACTTGTTCATCATGGCCTCTTGAGGAGGTTCCTAGGTCAGAGAAAAAAAAATAATCCTATCTTAGTTACTCCAAGCGTACAAAGCAGACCAAGCAAGAAGAATGACATTGCAACTTCCAAGCACGGGAATCTAATTAAAAGAAAATTATACAAGAGCGATTTTTTTTTACCATTTAAATACAACAACCTTACCTCCCTTGATCGTAAAAGTGGGATAGCATTGACTTTTAATCCCGGCATAAACCCAACGATCAAAACGATTCCACGATTCACATTGGCCGGCGAATTATGCATTTGATTTTCACCACTGTCATCTTCCTCCCATTTAACCTAAACAAAATTAGGGAAAAAAAAAAAAACCCAATCCTGTCGGGCCAAGACTTCCCTTTGGAAATGTCCGTATTGAATAAACAAAATTAGTATAAAGTAGACAAAATAAATGCTACTTACCTCTTCGAATTCATTGGTAAGAGCATCACTACCGATGATACCACCAGCTGCAGAAACGACAATAGGGATTCGGGAGCCTAATTTTGCCCTAACCTGCAGGTCTAGCTTTACCCTTTACTATTACTGACAAGCATGGACTATACAAAAACATGGAATAATTAATTGAGAGCTCATACGAGTTGATGAGTTTTCTTCAAGCTGAACTTCCTGCCAACACAGGCGATAGCAAAATGCGGTCGAATAGGCTGGGACAGAACCTTGTCAAGAGTCTCTTTTACAGCAATCTAAAATGAGAGAAGAAAACCTCAACTGAATGATCGAACGATTGATTGATTGTGTGTGTGTGTGTGTGAATTAGGACATGAGCTTTTCTATATACAGGGAGATATGATGGTTATTATGGAAGACATACCTCGAGACGGGGGTTTAGAGAGAGAGCAGAGAGAAGCTTAGGGCGAGAGAGGATTAGAGCGCAGAGACGATGCCAGGTGCTGCTGACGCAGGCGGCAGATGCGAAGGATAAAGCGGGGAGCTTCGAGAGGATAATTTGAAGGATGTCTTCTCCGATAGAAGTGATGCCTAACCCTCCCCCTGCTTCCATCACATTCCTTGGTGGCCGAGGCGGAGGCTCCATACATTATACACCAACTAAAACTCAAAATGCACAAATGCCGTTTCGTTTCCTAATTGCAAATCCGCAAATGAACGGAGCAAGCGACAGTGAGAGTTATCCCCGACTCCGACTCCTCGCGAAAAGCTTGGCTGTTGGAATGGCAGGCTGTTTCGAGGAAATCGGATTTTTTTTTTTCAAAATACTCCCGAGCACCCAGTAAATTGGACCTAGTGCCACTTTTCAGTACCTGAATTTTTTAAACGTGCCAAACGAGTATCTAGCATTTGAAAATATATAAATGCTCTTTGAGTGATTTAAGTTTTTTAAATTAATCATCTAAATAATGACAAAAAAAATGAACAGTCCCATGTCCTTTACTCTCTTATTCAAGAAAGTTGGGGTCACTAAGAGGTAAAGATTTGGGATCGTCATTTTTTTTATCAATATTTGGAAGGTTGATAAATATTAGATAACACTTGAAGGGTATTTGTGTCTTTTCAAACACCATTTAATGGCTGATTAATGGTATGTTTAAATTAACGCGTAAAGTTTGGGTACTGAATTGTCATGTTTTAAAATTTAGGGACCAAAGTAGCTTTAGGCCCAAAGTACAAGGTACTAATCAAGAAATTTCCCTTTTTTCTAAATTTACATATGTGCCCCACAACATACCCCAACTGCATATAACATCTCCCATTGAAAACTTCGGGAGATGTTCCCGATGCATGCTTAGATGTGCATGTGGGGCGTTTGTGGGGCCGCCCTCTATCGGGTGCATATGTGATCTCTTCTTTTTTCTAAGTAGAGAGGAAATTAGATTTGATCTTCACAAGATCGTCTCACAATCCCTTTAAGTCGTACATTAGGAATATCTCCCCATGAAGAAAACATTGAAGTCAACTGAAAAAGACCATAAGGATGCTTTTGTGAGAATCAAATCCAAATTCTGTTTTGAGAGCTTCTCCACATGACATGTTGAGGTTGGCATGGGTGAGGGGAAAAAAGGTATTTTAGCTTGGAAAAAAAAACATATTAGGGATTGAATGGTGTAACATATCATGTATATAATGCTTCCAAAGAGGCCAAGTAGCCAAAGGCTTGCCTCACTTAATAAGAACTAATTTTGTACATTGTGTTATAAAATATTTTTATATTTTAATATTTTGAGATTATAATTATAAAATAGATATTATTAAATTAAAATATTCATTTTGTAATATATATATATATATATATATATATATTATTTTCTTATTTGTTAGGGTTAAATCAACATGAAAATTGCTAAATGTTGTATTGACCTCTCAAAAACTTCAAACTTCAAAGTAAAGAACTTAAAATTGTGTCTAATCAATACATTTTCTTCTTTCATATCTTCTTATTCTTCTTCCACCTTTTCTTTTTAAATTTTCTTCTTTTTCTACTTTTCTTCTCATAAATGTGTTGATTTTCTATATTTTAACATGTAATTCATACTTTTCTTATGAAAATTATAGATAATTATTAAGTAAACATGGTTATGGAGCTATCTTAAAAAAATTAATTGCCTAGGCACCCATATCTATCACCTAACCTCACCTTGGTGCCTTGAAAACTATGCTCCTGATTAGGGGTGTCAATGGAGCAGTTTTGGATTGGACCCCATTCAATCCAAAATCAATTTGGATGGACCAACAAGACATATTGAACTGGACCAATCCAGACTCAATGGTCCAAAGAATTTATTGGATTGGATTGGACCTGGTCCATCCATAATATTATATTGGATTGGGTTGGATTGAGACAATATTTGGTCCACTGATAGAATATAAGAATATAGGTGTCAATGGACCAGGTTTGCGTTAAAACCAATACAAATTAAAACAAATTGGAATAGATTGGATGGTCTAGACATTGAATTGGACATGTCCAAATATTCATTGGATTGGATTGGACCTAGTCTTTTGTAATGGACTCTCACATTTGGACTAGATCCAATTGGACCAAACCCAGTCCAATTGACACCCCTACTCCTGATTCCTCCCTCTATTTGAGGCCATGTGAGATGGTGTATATTGGATGAATTCAGATTTCCTCTTCACATTATTGGTCCTCATACCCACCTCATAACCCTTATACAGCACATCAGGAACATCTCCCTATTTATATGTTTTTATTCATGGGGATATGTTTCCAATACATGGCTGCAAGTGCACTGAGGTGGGTGTGAGCAAGGATTAACATATCTTTACACACAAATACCCAACATAGGTATCGATGAATATTGATATGGATGATACTCTTTTTTTGTATTTTTTTTTATTTTTCTTAATAATGAGAGGGTCCTAAAAAAGGCCTGAGACCTTTTAAAGTTTTTAAAATATTTGTGTATCAATGTATCCAAATGTATTTGGACACACCAATAACAATATGATATGCCCGATATGAGATATATCATATCAATATTTTAATCCTTAAATCTTAAGACCAATTTTGTGAGGTTTACTTTTTTGCTTCAAATACATTTTTGGAGGAGTAGTAACTCTCTCTGATCATTGGATTGTCATGCCAAACCTGTGTTATCTACTGTAACTGAATAAATTGGAGCTGAAGATGAAACTAGGTCTATGGTTAAACATATAGGGAAGGTAACCCATCACCACATCCCCTCTATCTCTATGCAGAAAAAAAATGGTAAAAATAGCATAGGAGGTTGCCGTTTGTTGTTCCCTGAAATTATAACAAGATGTTCCTAATGTACAACTGCAAGGGCTATGAGGTGGATGTGCGGACAATTTTGTGAGGATAAAATACAAGTCAAGTACAGGATGTATTATTGAAGTCGACTTGGATCCCATTGAAAAAAATTGGACTCCACCTCACCTCAGCCTGCTGCTGCCAGCAGCATATGCGTGCTCCTTATTCGAATGTACTTAAAAGTGGCCCACCAGATAAGAGAATAAGAGATAACCCACACCCACCGATGGAACGAACACTTGTAAGGGCCACAGTGGGGGTCACAGGCATATCCATTGGAAATTGGCCGATGGCCGTGTCCCCTACCCCTAATCTAAGATCCTTCACTCTCATTTGATGGGATTATTGATTAAAGGGATCTCAAAACTCAGATTACTTTTGAGTTTTGAGACAGAGATCAAAATTCTACGTACAAGGTACAATACCTAGGTTTCGACGTCCTGTGAAGTGTGGACGAATGCATAGACAAGACGAGCAACTCATCGGAATTTGCAAGAAATTACATATAGACAGCGGCAAGCCAATGAAAACTACAAATGATGGGCTAGGCCCTAGGGTTCGCTTGCAAGCCAATCACATCAGTCAATGTGGTGAAAAGACACGAGTACTGGAGTGGACAGCATTTCCAACACAATACACAGCCATCTATTCTGAGGTCAAAAACAGCTCAATTTGAGGTAAAAGTAAAACAGCCCTCCGTACAAACTAATATCTTAACTGAAGCAACATCATTTGAGTTGTGTATGTGTTATGGTACAAACATCTTAGACACATGCAGATCCCAGTGGAGAAAAGAAAAAGGGTAAAAAGAATCTCTTTAGATAATTATAAGCGGCCTTCAATTCAAAGTTCAAACCATCCCATGAACCATGATTCATGAAGAGCAGGAATTATCACAATTAATCCCACGAGAAAGGAAGCGTTTGTGGTCCCCCATTTTGGGTTGACCCATCAGATTCAGACCCCAAGTGAATGACCCCGTGACAATGAAGGGCATCAACGTCACTGGCATCAGGAACCAAAACTGAGGCCTGCTCATCTTCCACTCCTTGTGAGCATGGATACCGACCTACACCACTGTACTGCAGAACTGGGACTAGGGGCTGAGCTATAGGTATGGGGTCTGGCTGCACCACATGATTCAGACTGATCCCTGAAGTCTGCATTGGTGGCGATGACAGAAGAGAGAGAGCACAATCCGAGTCAAGAACTCGGGTTAACCCATCGGAGAACATTTTCCGGCTGCCCTCACTTTCGGATGAGGCAATGGAATTGAGAAGCGGCTGGCAGACAGAAGATTCAGGAGGCATTCGATTGATGAGTGTGACATCGTTGCTTTGCAAGAAAGGAAATTGCTTGCCTCTATAGCTGTGTGAGAAAGATCCAGTAAACGTATTTTGTCTGTCAATAAAGTGCAACTGCTGGTGGCGGTTATAAGGTGTAGTATCTTCCTCAGTTTTCACCACTCCGGACCAAGGGGGACTGACAACAGCAGTGGGAAACATTTGCGTAGTAGTGAAGGGCAAAAATCTACTACCTGTAGGATGGGGAGAGAAAAATATTTAACTCCAATTAGACCACAACATCTGATTATGCAGAAGAAATAGAAGAATATGTTCCAAAGAAAAGGGGAATGAAATCAGTTTTAAAAATGGGTGACACAGAGGAGATGGTCAACCACTATTTGCAAACCACCCATTTATTTCTCCGGACTGACATAGATCCATCACATGATGCAAACCATCTTTCCCATCCATCTTTTCAGAGAAATATGGTAATTTCTACTGATTGTCCGTAAAACAAGAAGGATTTTTAAAAGAAACCATAATGTCATCAAAGAATTACAATCACCAATCAAGTAACCGATAAAGTAAAATTTTGATAAAGATCTCCTTGAAGGTCCCAGTCCAATGGGGTCCACAAAACGCTACAAGCACAGCAAATGTTCAGCCAAGGTAGATAGTGAAGCTTCATTCCATTCTCCTCTTCTTACCTCAAAAGAAAATTATTTCTTTTTTCCTTTTTGTAAGAAGAAACATAACTAAATAAACAAAATACTATTTAAGATTCACTTCTTTGTGAGTCTTGTGGTAAATGTTCTGCCTAATTTACTGCAAGTTAGCATCAATATGCCACCAGCATAAGAACATTCAAATTCAGACTCAACTATGAACAAAAGACTAGGATTGTATGCAAGTTGAAAAAAACAACTTAACAAAAGCAACCTACTGACAAAATATACATAGAAAAGAAATTCCCCCCTGAAAGACCTGTCCAGTTTTTCCAAAAGCTGGTTGAATCAATACAGTGGTAAGGCTTTAAAGGGAAAATAATTGTGAGATTTTAAAGAAAAAGCATACTAATTTTTAAATTGCACTTTTGCTTCAAGTTGAAGCTTAGCCAACTTATACAAATAAGTCAGCTTAGCAGGTCTCAAATGCTGATTGAAAAGCACACAAGTGCAGAACAATACTGTCCTGACATGGACCAGTCTAAGAAAGATTTTCAAACCTTGGTGATTAGTAAACAAGCTTCCAGAATTCATGGACAACGATTCTGGGTGAGGCTTCCTCCGGCGCCGGTTGTGTCCATCCAGACGTTTCCTACAGCTTCTCTTAACTTCATCAAATTCAACCAACAAATGGAACCTAAAAGTGATCAAACAAGTGGAAGACTTGAGATATATTATTTATATCAAAAAGAAAACACAATAAACTAGACCTGCAGTCAATACAGGGGAAAAGCAGCACATGGTAACTTAGGAACATAACAGTAAATCAAAAAACAAGAAAAAACAGGGATTTCATAAGGAACCTAGCTCCCAACTCAAACTCGTAGCAACAAGCAAAAGAAAAGGGGGGGGGGGGGACTTTCCATCTCTAATGTATTACAATGTTCTATTCCCACAGAAGAAAATAACAATTTATGTGGCTTGGAATATTTCATACACCGGCAATGCAAAATCAAATTTCCAATACGGGACAAAAGGGATTACAAAGCTCCCAGGACTTCTTTACCTTCTACTTTCCAAAACAAAGTTTTTTTCCTGTGACTCTATATAGAGTATAAAAGCACAATAAGAATGCAAATGTACAACTTGCAAGTAAATAAGATATCATGGCATATAAACAAATTCACATGAATAAACAATCCTTTCCTAAATGAAGAGCAAATAACTAACATATACAAAACATGCAATGTAACTAAAAAGTTCCCACAATTTGAAAGATTATGTACCATGTATATGCAAACTGTTATCAGTTGATTTTTTTTTTATCAAATAATCAATCCATTACGACCTGCTAAAATAAAGCAACTTAAGAGTTGGCTCATCTTTGGTCTGGGACAGAGGACATCTAGACAGGTCTGAGGAACTCGAAAGTTGAAATTCACTGTGTTCTATATTTCAAGAATCAGGACTCACAGAAAAAGGGTCTCCCCAGCTTCACCACCCAAACATATAGTTCCAATTATCCGTAGAGGTTTCTCTGTTTGGCTCGGTTAATCATTTGGTAGAATAAAAAGCACTGCAGCAGAGCACCTATTGACAAGGGTTTGAATCTGAGAGGGGGAATTTTTAACACAAATAGGAACCCAATTGTTCTAATTTAATTATTTACTTTTTTTTATAAACAATTTAATTATTTGCTTGGTAGCTTGACAATATAAATAATTGTCCATGGAACCCTACATGTACAATATTAATCTCCTAAAGAACTCTTAAGCCCCTTTTATAAATTTTCCATGCACAACGATCTTTGTATATATTGAAAGCAAAATGGTTATTGGGCCAATTGGCTAGTTGGTAAGGTCTCCTGCTGGTTGTAGTGGAGACTTGGGATCCAATTCCGCCAGAACCAAGGTGTTATAGGTTTGGGGATGGGCGTTGTGTAGCTCCATGGAGCCAAAAATAATAATACGTTAGCAGAATGACAGGGAAACAATATGTTAGAACGGATAAGCCTTAAGATCACACCTATGCCAGTAAATACTACCAAGCCAAATCAAGTCATTGACCCCGAACCACAAAAGGTTTGTAATAACAACTATCAAGTATAAGGACTACATGCATCACTCAACGAACCCCTCAAAAGGAGTTATTGTAAGAACGGCCAATATATGGTTGAGAAGAGATTCCAATCATAATAACTGAAAATTGTGTAAAGCCAAAATAAAAATCTAACATTGGATGATTGGATAGCCAAAGCCAAACATACAACAATTCGATAGATAAAGGCAATTAGAGGGGTTCAACGTTGAGAAAAACCGACTAATTTCTAGCTCTCTACGACTACTTGAAATCCATACCTGCTGCACTGCTGGCAGAACCGTTGCTCCTGACCACCTACCATCACCTTTGGTGTCTTAGAGTGAAGCTCGCAGACTTTATGGCGCCTGTGATAGTCCCTGCAGTTAGTAAGGTCCGACTTGCACCCATCAACCAAGCACGAAACCGTCTGAGTTCCATTACTAGGCGCTCGAGACCTCTTGGTGGAACCCGATGGAGGTGCCAGCACAGTGGAAATCCTTGGATCCTTCAACTTGTCCAGTGACCCATCCCCGAAATCCCCCAGCCTGCCAAGTTTCAAATCTACTGAGCAATCCCCTTTAGTGTTCTGTCCTTGAAAGCTACTAGACCCAACAAGTGGGGCGATGTTAGGGATGGATTCCCGCTCCAATTCGGCTAAATCCCAAGAAGGTGTCTTCAAATCCCAGTCCATAAAAATTTTTCCCTTATCCTCCTCTTTTATTCTTTCTCCCTCCTCACACTCTCCTCTCCTTCTCATCCGCTATTAGTGGAACTCCTTCCTATTTGTCTCGCAAGTGCATCACATACTAGTTCAAAATTCTACCAGAACCAACGAAGCAGAAACCGAAGTTGAGAACTCAAAAGGTAGGGGGCAAGAATCAGCTACCCTAACGCACACAAATCAGTAGTAAGCTTACTACTGTCAAATTGCACAAGGCCCAGAATTGTCTAAACCAGTACAAAACTAAAAATCAAAGATGGGTACCTCAAAGAGATAAGCATTTGGAAGGCAAATCGAGGACGAAATTCAAAAGGGGAAAATCCATCTTGGTTATTTCGACGCAGTCGAATTGCAGAGAAATCTCCAACAAAACGGGAAGAAGCTAAAGTAGAGAAGGGAAACAAAGCAAGAAAACTAAAGACCAGTTAGAGTACTTACAGACAAGCACAGCATGAGAAGACTGATCTGGGCTCTCTAGCCGTTCATTCCCTGACGTGGATTCCATTAAAAATCAATAAAAGGGAGGAAACTGAAAAGGAAAAGGAGAAGGGGGAAAAGCGAGGGGCGTAGGTTAAGAAGAATCACTCTTTAGGCTCCCTGTAGCACAAAGCATGAGATAAAGAGCCATTTGGGTTTTTATATGTGAAATTATTGGGAGGAGCAACAGCTAACAAGGTGGATAATCCATGCAAGTATACATATAGAATTGCGCTACAGAGAGAGAGAGAGAGAGCGCTGAACCGCCTCATCCTCAACACCGCCCCCAATAAGAAAAGGAGGGAACTGCTTGCTACAAATACCATGTTTTTTTTTTTTTTTTTTTTTCTGGTGAGAACTTTCTACAAATATCATAGAGATTGGAGTTCAATATCTGTTTCTTTTAACTTAGGGTTCATTAATGTTGTCATAATTTGAAAGAAAGAAAAAAAAAACTAAAAGTAAAAAATAAAGAAGATGAAGAAGAAAACAACATAAAAACGAGTGGCAAGGAAAGGGACAGGGTGTTGTTGCTTTCAACTTTTTAAGTGAAGGAAAAGTACAAAGGCATGTGGTATTGTGTTTCACATTTGATGACATGTTTTTCTTTCTCCCCTTCCCTCCTCTCTATGATTGTGGTTATGTTTATGGCTCTTCTTTTTCACCTGTTATTTTCATACACTGTTTATGGTTAGGGTCGATATTCCCTATATCATTTGATCGAAATATTTTAATTACATTTTCAAATTGCCCTTAACTCTTTATGAAATTTTCACCCACAATAACACTAAAAAGAAAAAGAGTAACATTCAGTCAAGATGGTTTTTAACTTATGGACCCTTTGGGATTTAGGGCTTTGGGTGAAGCAAAGCTTATAGCTTCTGTGTCGATGCTTTTTATTCTCCCCTTTTTTTAAGAAAAGCCCGAAGGCAACCTGTATTAATCAATCGGAGTGTCATGCCTTGGAGTTGGAGGCTGCTTCAACTGAATGATTTTTATTTCGTCTCAAAGTGGACGAGTTAGTCAGGAATAGGGCGATCATGGACGGCCAGGCTTAGCGCCCGCCAATGACAAGAGGCGTAATTCGGGAACGCTTTTGGGACTATAATACAATTTTAAATTTATTTAATATATAATATGTCATATAATCTCCCTCTCTATATAATATGTCATACTTTAGATATATGTCGATACTTTATTTTCCTGCAGGATCAAGAAGTTAAATGTCTCATGTCTAGCGGTGGCAATTGGGTTAGTTGGATTTGGTTTGGGTTGAACTTTAATCCAATTCGTTTAATCCGTTAATTCATTAATAATTCAGTTATATGAAATTAAATGGGTTAGGTTCAATCCATATCCGCTTTAATCTAATCCAATCCATCTAAACCCATTAATTTTATATTTATGGTATTAAAAAACAAACTAACTCTTTATTAATAAATAATTTGGTCATAGCTTGGTGGTAATAGCAATTATTTTTTATACAAGTGGTGAAGGTTCAAATCACATTATATGCATGTTATTTTTATACAAGCGGCGAAGCCATTTGATTATGTTCAGATTTTGGGTTTTACCGAATCACTTAAATTCAAACTAGTCAAACCAACTTGAACTATCTAATTGGATTATCTTCGAGCTAATCACATCAAGGGTGGTTGAACTATTTAGATCTAGATTAGTACGGACCGGTTCAGTCAATGGTGGATTGATTTGGATTAGCCATATCAGGTTTGTGCACGGGTTTGGGACCGAATCGATTGACCCGAAGCGGGTCAACGTAAGTAAATCGGGTCGGCTTGGATTTGGATCGTGCTTGTGTGGATATTGGTCGGACCAGACAGTCCAGGCCGGGCAAAGCACAAAGGCACCAAACCATCCCGCCTGAAACCGTTTCAGATTTGGGTCGACCCGGATCGGCTTGTGTCGGGTCGGGTCGGGCTGTGTGAATACTGGTTGGGCTGGACAACCCAAAACAAGTAAAGCAAGCAGTAACGAACCATCCCTCTCGAGGTCTATTTCGGATTTGGGTCGGCCCGGATTGGTATATGCTGGATCAGGTCAAACCACATTGAATTGGTCCGGACTTGGGTCAAATTGATTTGGATTTATGTTAGGTGAAGTGTGTTGATTCAAGACAAAACTAAATTTAGTCAATAATTAATAAAAAATTAATGCACTAATTATAAATAATTTAATTTAAATGAACAAAAAAAACTAAGGAATTAATATTTATGTCTATAATGATTAACCCAATGGTTATCCACAACCCAACCCAACCCAATTCACTTAAATGAATGGATTGGATGATAGATTGATCACACAACCCGCCAAATAAATGGGCGAGTTGGATGAAAAATTGCCACCCCAACTCATGTCTATCTTAATTCATTTAATTTTCTCTTAAAAAAGCAAATGCACCTGCCACTCAATTATATATATATGTATTACTCCCATCAAATTAAGAAAAGAATTAGCTGCACCTAAGCACTTTTATTCAGATTAATCATAGGGTCTCATGAGTAACGAACACAATTAACTGTTGTTCAGAGTTTTGCAGCCCATTAAAAAAGTTATTCACTCTCCTAACTATCCATTGAGATCCTTGAAATTTCTTTCATTCCGGGCTTGCCAAATGTAGTATAAAGCTATCCCGTACCAAGATAAGACTGAATTGACCAGGTTTTTGTCGTTGATACTTTGGGATATATAGCGAATGAATACATTGAAGCCAAGATGAGTGGAACAATGTTTGGAGGGCCACATTCCAAGGAGCAGGAAATAAGATGGCTTTAGCCAACGGACAATAGAAGAATAAGTGGTTTAATGATTCTACCTCTTGATTACAAAGCACACATTGGGCCTCCTAAGGATTAGCAAAGAGTCTAACATAATTATTAACTGCCCTCCAAAAGATCAATTGATATCGAGCTGATATATTCAGCTTCCATATCTGTTTGAAAGAATTTCTGAGATGGGAAAGATTAAAAGGCTTTCCAACTGAGCATAATCATGCTTCGCAGAGAATTTTCCTGAGGGGTGAGGGAGCCAAATCCAAGACATTGAAGTGTCTGTTGGGAAGATAGGGGTATTGATGATTGTCTAGTATTCTTGGGGTGTAAAATTACACTGGATTTGTTGTTCATCCCAAACCCCATTGTGGATAAGGGCAACAATTGATTTATTTCTTAGAGCGTTGTTGTAGGCTAGGAAATCAACTGAAACTTGGTGTTCTACTGCACCCAAGGAATTTGATCCACAGGGTCTGATGACTCAGGGGTCACTAAGTACCCGATCTCATCTAGCTAACCTTGTATAAGAGGCACTACAGCTTTTCACAAAGATGAGCTATTCCTTTTAATAGAGAAAGGGAAGATCCCGACTTTGTTCAGACATTTCGCCCTCCAAATTTGAGACCAAATTTTATGTTGTTCATTCAAGTACTGCCAAGCCAGTTTTTTGAGCAGAATCAAATTAATATTTTTTTTCAAGTTTTCAAAACCCAAACCCCCAATTTGTTTTGATCGAGTTAATTTGCTCCACGCACATCATCTATAAGGGTTTGGGTTGGCCTGTGACTTCGCCCACTAGAAGTTTCTTATTTTCTTCTCTATTTTAGAAATTGTTTTTTAGGAGAATTTTACTACATTCATGGCATGAATGGGCACGGATTGGATGAAAGACTGGATTAGAGGTTTCTTTCCTGCCAGACTCAGAGCCGAGGCTTTCCATCACTTAAGTCTGGAGCTGATATTTTCTAGGATGAAGTTTAAGTCATTATGTTTGTTCCTAGACCACCAACTCATGGGGACTCCAAGATACTTAGATTTAGGATCTAGAGGTTTCATGTGGAGTTGCCTCCTAATCATCCATTGACGTTTCAAATGTATATTTTTGCTAAAAAAAGATGCCAAATTTCTCAAAGTTGATGCACTAACCAGAGATGTCTTAGAAATGGTCAAGGACTTCCTTCAAATTCTCAATATAATCCCTATGGGCCCTCATGAATAGCATAATATCATCAACAAAGAAAAGATGAGAAATGCTAGGAGCCCCTGATGACATTTGGATCTCTTGGATCTTGTTCTTAGATTCTGCTTTTAGAAGTAGTTAAAAGCAGCCTTGGAAGGCCCTCCATGGCTAAAATAAAGAGGTAAGGGGAAAGAGGGTCCCCTTGTCTAAGGCCTCTAGGGGGTCGAAGTGACCTTCGGTAGTCCCATTTCTTAGGACCGAAAAGGAAACTATGTAGAAACACACTCCTTGATCAGCTAATAGAAGTTAGGGAGAAGCCCAAACTAGTCACAATTTTGATAAGATAGGACAACTCCAATATATCATAGGCCTTAGACATATCTAGTTTTAGGGCTAAAAAGCTTGTTCCCCATTTATGGAGTTGAGGAAAGGAAACATTTCTGGGGTAACCACATTTCTGGCACAAAAGCTACTTGGGAAGGGGAAATGCACTTGTCCAGGAGGGGTCTGAGTCTATAAGTCTATTAGTAATTACTTTTGCAAGAATTTTGTAGAAAACATTGCACAAGCTGATTGGACAATAGTCCTAGACTTTTGAGCAATCCACATTTTTGGGGACCAAACAAATAAAGGAGTGGTTTAGTCTTTTGAGCATCTTTTTGTTAATGAAGAATTCTTGGACAAAGGACACTATAAGCCCTATTTTAACATTTCATTCTATAAAGTGTCACATCACTATGAGCCCTTAAATCATTTCTTACTTCTTACTACCTGAAGCTTTTTTTTCTTGGTTTTAAGGGGCTATTACTTGAATCCATGCCCCAGGCCCATACCACACATTCCTGAACTTGATGTGAGATAGCTTAGGCTAGGTTAGGTCATATTAAAAATTATTACACTTAGGGCCTGTTCGTTTGCTCTAAAGTCTAACATCTGAAAGTGCAATAATTACCTTAAGAGGTATATTAGTATTGGTGAACTTTTCTTTCCTTTGAACTTTGAATGCAAAGAATGTTGTTCTGAGTTCTGAATTCTGAATTATGAATTCCAAAAATGATCAAATATCCACTTTGACCCCATATATGAAAGCTTTTGTTTGTCTTTTTGGGGTACCATTGGATAACCAAAAGTTGTACGATTGCACTTTAAGAGATAAGAGGAAACAAACAACCATTTTTCTCTTAAATTTAAAAGATTCCTTTTAAGAGATAAGAGTTAAGAGGAAACGAATAGTCCCTTACTCAAGCACTGGGGGGGTCGTAAGTTCTTTGATGATGTATTTGGTTTAATAGAAAAAAAGAGAGAAACATAAGGTTTGGAGGG